TTATGATATCTGGAACTATTAGACTGGCATAATTATTATTCTCCAGTTTTCTTCTTTACTGTTTTTCTTCTTTATTGCTTTTGAAAGTACTGACAAATCATAAAATACTGTATATTTTATTGGTAAGATATATTACCTATTTAGATTTTAACTAAATCATGAAAATTTTATTCAGTATAATTAATTAACTCATAATTTTGATCTGCAAAATTAAAATACAAGCTGGATATTTAAGTATATTTTTTCTATTTTCAAAAACAAACCAAAGAAACCCTAGCAACAACAAAAACAAAAACTTTTCTTTCAGGGGAAATTAATGTGACTCCTTAATTTAGTTGGATTTTATTTTCTTTAAAGCTATTTTGAAGAAGAAAATATTTGATAAAGGTATAATTCGGAAGATATTTTCAAATGTTTTCTCTGCTAAATGTTTTCTTTTCTGTAGTACACACAATGTTCTTCCTTCTTAAACTGGAGGCTATCAATACCTCATAGCTCTTTCCTGAAGAAAAATGCCAGGGACACTTTTAAACATTATAGATCAGATTAGCTGTTATCATGAGCAAGCACCAACATGGACAGCTGCAAATCCAGATAGCATGAACAGTGATGAGAGATGCTATGAGTTATTGTCCAGCAATACTTGGATCCCACATTCTTTCCCATTCAAGAATGGAAGTGACTGAATAAGATTTTTGTGTTCTATCTAGAAAAACATTATTATTATTATTATTATTATTATTATTATTATTATTATTATTATTATTATTATTATTATTATTATTATTNATCTATCTATCTATCTATCTATCTATCTATCTATCTATCTATCTATCATCTATTTACACACATGCATTCACACACACACACACACACACACACACACATTTTTAGAGCATGTTAAATTCCAAGTTGTTATATATTAAATATGTACAATATACATATCTAATAAATAGGGGTTTCTCAATAATTCAAACTATTGTATAATGTTATTTAAAAATGGATGAAGAAAGCTAAAAATACTTCTGGCAGTTAATTAAATTAAAAATTAAACACAATTAAATAATTTGGCATGCAAATAAAATGAGAAAATGATTCTTTCTGAAAAATACTTTTAAGTCAGAAGGATGATTTATAGATCTTTATGGGAATAATATGTTCAAGAGTGGGATTGAAAAATTGGCTTAAAGGTAGGTTACAAAAAAATAATGTAAAGGAAGTTATTAAAGATGTGAGAAATGGTAAGAGCATGTGGTTTGGTTATTTAGGGCTATACGATTTCTTTAATTTATGTATGAAGGTTGTAGTAATTCCTTATGATTAGAAGAATATGGTTATTTTTCTTCTACACAAAAAGAAAGGAAATAAGAATTAGTACAAAAACCATATAGTTGTTAGTTTATTAAGTATCCCTGTCAAAATGTAGAGTAGAATTCTCACTTAAAATATATAAAACATGACAATAAGTTAAAATTTGAAGATATAGAGCTTTTATGCTGGGAAAGACATAGTGTGCTTTTCAGCACATCATTAACAAATATATAATATGTGTGAAAAACTTTATTGTACATTTATCATTATCAATCTTTCTTGCACTTAATGACTGTAATGCACAAAACAAATCATTAGCCAACATACTTGTAAATTTATAAATTACACCACTAACTTTTTAAAAAAGTAACAAGAATTTTTTACTTAAAAGAAATAAGAACAAGAAGATAAGTCAGGTAAAGTAGGCTTAAAAATGAAACTAAAACAGAACAGACAGCTGAAAAGAAATTTGGGTTATATAAGCTTCAATAATGAAGAGACCTCTGATAAAGCTAGATGAAACAAAATAAGTAGAAAACAAAATATAATATCTATTTAAAGGCTAATTTAAAAAAAAGAATCCGTCTCAATGCTATAAATAAGCCATATTATATGCAACTGAATTCATCTGGTCTCAGTAATCATATGTTTTACTATTTTATGTTTGTTAATTTATAGAAAGTATAAGATAGTATAAATATAAGAGTTGAACATGAAAATGGAGTTGAACATTGAATGAGTAATGGGAAAAGAGTAGAAAATTGAATGATTAATGAATGGTTCAGCATTGATGTGTTCAGCATTGACAAAGATCTGTTCATTTTCTAATATTTTATGGATACATCTATGAATATACCTGTGATGATGTTCAAGGCATTTTGGTTGGGGATATCAGTATGAGTGCACTTTTGGATAAGTAAACCCATATTGCTGCATGAAATCTAAATGATCTGCAACTGATATTAATAGCATGTTTCAATTAGGAGCATAAACCGAAGATTATCAAAATTGTGTCTGACAGAAAAAGTATAAATAAAGATTCCATACAGTATTATACATGGCTGGCAAAAACAGCACATGGATGCATCCACTAAATGATAAGGAAACAAATCTTGGATGAATAAATCTTAAGATATAAATATGCTATACAAAACTAGTGTATTTTATGTAATAGGTTCGAGGCTTTTTTGTGAAAAAGAGCAAAAACTGGCTGTTTGTAAAAGCATGCTTCTGTACTTTTTTCTGAACAGCAATGAGAGTTAAGTGTGCTATAAAAGCAGTTTGAAAGCAGTGGAATGTGATCTTTAAGATGTAGGTTATAAAACAAAAAATAAGATCAAGAATAAATGTGCAATGAATGAATATCAATGGAATATAAAAGTGAATGAGTAATATTTTAAAAAAGTACAATAAGGTAGTTTGGACATAGAGACCAATTAACTTGCAAAACAATAGAAGAAAGGGAATGTGTAAAAAAGAAGGGGAAGAACAAGAAAGTTGTGATCAGATGGAGATACGATTCCTGAAAAGTTTAAAAAAAAAAAAAAGGTAAAATATCCCAGAGCAAAAGGCATTGTATGAAGCAGTAGGTGTTTGTGGTCATTCATATCTTGGTCATCTCCCATTTATATTACTGCAATATGCTGTACATAGGGATGCTCTTAAAGGCTACCTTGGAAACTTCAACTAATCCAGAATGCAGCAGTGCAGACAGTAATGCGGACTCCTACATTCCCCCAACCTTTGTTCTGCAAGCTGCACTTTTATCCATATAGAATTCTTGTATTATTCAGAGGCATGTCTGCTTTATGCCTATTATTAATTTTCTTTATAATAAGTTATTAAGCTTACCTTAGAGTCTGGAATAATTTGGAAGACTTATACTGCAGATCAGATAATGTTATTAGGGTTTGCTGCACAATCCATTGTGCCTTCAAATGGAGGCAGAGGAGGAGGAGGGGCAGGAGAAGGAGGAAGAGGAGGAGGAAGCACTTTGCTATCATGATGGGAACAACTATCTCCTGTATCTTTTTTAAAAAAAACTTTAAATGCATTTTTAAATATTAGCAATTTCGAAATTGTGAATGAAGGAAGACATTATTTCCAATCATTTTGTTAGTGTACAACTTGAATGTGGTTTAGGAATTATAAAACACACCAAGATAAAGTTATCTGAATTTAAGGAAGCATAAGTATCTTTCTTGGCAGACTTCTTTAATGAAGGAACATCGAGTTCTCTAGTTCACTTGTGGTACAGCTGCTTATGCCTATGATTTGTACCTGGATATAGACATACACTGGAGGGACGCGGTAGCTCAGTGATTAAGATGCTGAGCTTGTCAATCAGGAGTTCGGCGGTTTGAATTACTAGCGTTGCATAACAGAATGAACTCCCATTACTTGTCCCAGCTTCTGCCAACCTAATATGTAAAGCACATCAAAATGCAAGTAGAAAAATAGGAACCATCTTTGGTGGGAAGTTAACAGTGTTCTGGGTGCCTTTGGCATTTAGTCATACCGGCCACATGACCATAGAGATAGCTTCATACAGTGCTGGATCTTCAGCTTTGAAACGGAGATGAGCACCACCCCCTAGAGTTGGGAACGACTAGCACATATGTCCTTTATCTTATAGACATACACTAATAAAAGTAACAGGAAGATGTAGGGGAAACATTGGAAAATATCTAATATATATTAAGCATTTGGACATGTTGGGAAAGTTGTTTTTATTTAGAAAAACAAAATAAGCACTGTTTTAAATATTAATTATGCACAATAAAAACTATTTCAATTCTTTAAGAATGTAACTCAGTAGAAGCAAGTTCTAAAGTATGCAAGTGTACGAATATTTTAACTGCTGTTTTTAGAAGCTGCCCTATTTTTTTCCCCTGTCCCAGCCAAATCGACCTATATCTGCCAAGGAGCAAATGAAAGAATGAGCAAGGATCAGATTCACTTTGGGATGCTCCACTCCCCAGGCATTGTTATATTTACACAGCATAACTGTGCCTCTGGCTAATGGGCAGAAAAGGTGGGCAGCTGGCCAGGTACAGGTTTCCATGACTCCTAAGTCTCAGTGGTGATGCATTTTTTTAGCTACCAAGATGAAGAGTGTAACTTTGGCTATAAAATAGACAATAGCCACCTTCACAGAATGATTTTTGAGAATGCACTCAATATTTGGATAAAAGGATGCAACTTTTACCAATGATATTTTGCAATTATGCAACACACAAAAACACAAAAAACCTTCCTGAGTTTTTCGCCTATTGCTTTTTTTCTTGAATGTGTCAGAAAATGGTGAATCTTTGTATAAATTCTGCAAGTGAGCTTAAAGCACAACCTCCCTACCTCCCTCCACCAAGTATTTCCCATTATAGAGAAGATGAAGGTGTCTATGTTTGCATGTATTATTTGTGTTTTCCCAGAAGGAAAGTTTATACCTCCAATACTGATTGTTGAAAAATACAAATATCTTGAGTGTTGTTGAACAAGACTTTCACAACCGCAAACCCGGCAACAGCACTCCCTGAGCTTGAGTTCATTATAAGCACTGTGTATTCAGCTGGCATTCTGCCTTTTTGCCCCTTTCCTTTGGCAAGTTTTGCAATCCACATTTATGAAATCAGCACAATGATTCTGTTGTTATTTTTTATACGGGGGCTGGTTTGTCTTGCTTCTAGTTCTCCACAGAGAGTTATCACAAGAATTTCTTGAGTGTTGTTCTGTGTGACTAGAATTCTCAGATAAATAGCAAAAACACATTAGACCTTATGGTTTTAAACCATAAGGTCTACCCAGGGAGATCTCTATCCTGACTTTTGCAATGAAGTTTTTGCAGTTGTTCACAAAAATAATGAAGGCATGGTTAGGGTACTTCAGATTAGTCCAGCAAGATTAAAAGACTGGTTTCTGCCATGTGATTTGAATGAAAATGTGTTGTGATGGCTTTTATATAGCACTTTTATTTCAATGCTTTTCTTTTTAATTCTGATTGCCTAACATTGCTTTTAAGAGCTTTTTAATTCATGTCAGAATACTGCTGAAAATGCAAAAATAAAAATGAAGACCCAAGAATATTATGATTAACTATGGGCCACATTTAATCTTAATTAAGTGATGAAGTAATGCAGATATCCCTTGTCAATTTCCTATTCAGTTAAACTTTGATTATCAGTATGACATTAATTATATGGAGGTTGCTGCTAAGGAATGCAACTTTTTCCCTTAAACAGAGTGGGTCAAGCTCCATGAAATTGATAGAATAACTCCACTTTCTAGTCAGTGCCTAAAACTGGTTCTTCTGGCACTTCCAGAAAGTCTCGTTTTTAAAAATAGCAATACAAATTATTTAGTGTCATAAATCATATACTTAGAAGTTGATATAGGTAGTGAGTGGGTTTCCAGTTGGTAACAGTGTTTATTTCTGGGTTTAGATTAGTGAGGGAAAATGTGCACATTTATTTTTTCAGGGAGCCATGTAGATGTATTTATGGTACTAAACGGTAATGCCAGTGAAGCAAGTCAGCTCTTTATAAATGTTTGTTGTTGTGTGACTTGAGTATTTCTAATCAAAATTAATGTTCACTTGAAGACAGAATGAAAAAACAATTCAGATCAATATGCAGTATTGTTATATGCCTTATTCTGACTCTTTGTATTTTGTATTTATCTGTCAAAAATAACAACTATGTCTCACTACGAAAAATATATTTTAAATTAAACTTTATTGATAAAAAGTAATAGTTATATTTTCTACAGGCGTACAGATCACTCCGTAAACAGTTAATATTTCTAATAATTCATTGTGTGCTCTCAAATATGGAATGTATTCTATTCTTGCAAGCTATTTTTGCCTGTTGATTGAAAAGCACTCACAATTGCTGCCAAGTGAAATATCATTCACATTTCACAAACATAAATCCTTTAGTATTTTAACTAAATTATTAAGTAGCTTGGTGTTTCAGTCTTTCTCTGTATATTGAGATTGAAATACAGATAATGGTTAAGGCAACAGGTTAGAAATTGGAAGTTCTAGTGCTGCCTAAAGCATGAAGCCAACTGGGGGCCTTTTATTCTTTGGGCCAGTTTATTCTTTCTCGGCTCTAAAAAGCAGGCGATAGGAAACCACTTCTGAAAGCTTGTTAAGAAATCTGCAGTCACCAGGATTTTTTTAAACAAAAGGGAACAAAAAAATATCCTTGTTTAGCAACTGCTCATTAAGTGACCATTCACAAAAACAATAGAAATAGCAGTAGAAAAAAAAATCATTTTCCTTTTGATGTGGTGGACTTACACCCAAATTTGGTGCCAATTGCTTTAGTGGAAAGAATAAATATTTCATAAACAGGAAGTTACTGCTTTTATAAACTGATAATTATTATAGTAAAAGTTATCATAGTTTAGGCTACAATATTTAGCAGGGTCATAAAGCATTTACATAGTTTGCAGCATTAGTCTCCTTGCTAAATAGCATATCTTTCTGTTCTGTCCATTTAAAAATATTTACCCATTATTACTTTTAAGGTAAAAGTATATTATTCATTTCTTTTAATTATTGAAAAAAAAATAGTTAAGTATATCCTGCCAAAGAGTTCAGGAGATACATCAGGGGGGAGAATGACATGATCCTGTGAAATAATTTTGAATTATTTGTTTAGGGTCTCTTAATACAGAATTGTTTCATGCTGTATTTCTTAATTCTATTATAGTGTTATGAAAAATAAATGAAAAAAACAGATGAAGAATTTGATCATAGAAGAACTATATAAGGTAATCAAATATTAAATGTAACTTTATATAGTCTCATACATGCTATTTAAGTAATATTTCAATGCAAACTTTTAACTAATCATATGAGTACAGTGTCTAAGATTATCTTGCCCTAAACTTTTATTTAAATATTTTTGATTCATTATATAAAAGTGAGATTTATCAGTGAAGAGAACCAAATTGAATTCCTTATTTAAAGTATGTGAAATAATGTCACAAATAATGTGTATTGCAATGATTTTCTGTGTAGTAATCCTTTGAGTTGAGAGTCGTATTTATATTTACCGGATAGTATATGTATTCCATTCTGGGAATGAAATATGATAATATTATAATATTTTACCATAGGTTTGTTTGGAAAAACATTTTAGGAAGACAATGATATTTTGGAATAAAATTATTAATATTTATAAAGCAAAGTCTATGATGATGAAAGTGACAAATAATGAAGATTTTTTTTATTCATAAAGTATAATAAATCAGGGAATGTCCTGCAGTGCTTGACTTTATAGTACAATCTGTTAAAGGAAACATAGTGTACCTAAATACCGATACTGGTTCTCATTGCACTTTTGGGACCAAATATGGATCATGAGGCATATCCATCTTTTTCTTCTAATGAAAGAGATTATATGGGGATATGTAGATGGATCACTTCATTTTCTCTCATGATCTGCTGCCCTGCTTAATATGTTTTTTAAAGAATGCACAACAAACTGATTTACATTTGTTGCTACTGTCTGAATGCTGGTTTAAGAAATCTGTTTTGTTCTCTGAGTTTAAGAAGATAATCAGAGGTGCTAGATATTTGTTTACATAAAGGCTTTTTTTAGATTGAGATTTTGATTTTTCATTCTTACTGGTAAGAAGTGGTATCTCAGTACTCGTCATTAGTTGGTTTCAAGAGGAACAACGAGCACTAAAATGGGTATCAAAAAAGCCATGTGACTTATGACATGGTTCTTTGTTTTGGTTGGGAAGAGCTTCCTGTCTGTCCCTTTTCAGTATGTCAGTGACCTTTCCAGCATGACTGACTTCCTGTTCACCTTCTGTAGCTATCCCCCTCTTCTTTTAACAGTGACTTTCCTGGCATGGCTGACTTGTCTGCCCCCTTTTCCTATTGCAGCACATCAAGTACCAAACAAACAATGAGTATGAGGACAATATTTTTGCACCAAATTGCATTGAGTACCACATTTTGAAGCAGCCGAGTACCGAAGTACTAGTATAGCAGTATTTCACTAGCCAAAATTTATTCTTAGTTTTCTGCAAATGATTTTATCATGGTTAGAGAAACTATGTTAGATAAATATACTTTTCGAGTACTTTTAAAATGTTCAAAACATGCATAATTGTAACCTCCTTATTCTGATTGTACCATTTTTTATATATGAATGTGAGATTTTCTTTTCCTCATAAATACTTAGCAATTTTTTCAAATTTATTTTCATCAATGCCAATTGGCGTAAACCCGTAGATCCGATCTTGTGGTAAAATACTATGCACAAGCTCGTTTCTATGGGTCAGTGTCAGTTTGGTGATTTAACAGAAGTGTTTGTTGACTTGGAGATATGCTGTGTCATGATGAAAGGTCAAATTCATCTTCACCTTCAGAATTTTAGCAGAGGTCTGAATATTTTATCCAAAACTTGACTGATATTTGGAAATGTTTATAATTCTCTCTATCTTGACTGAAGCCCTTCAAATTGCAGGAAAGCAACCAAAAAACATAACACTGCCACTACAATGTTTCACAAAGTATACAAAGTACTTTTGGCAATCCACAGTGTTGTTTTTGTACCAAACATATTTTGGGGAATCACTGACCCATCCCCCATCTATTATCTGCCTCCCAGCTGATAGGGAGAAAAATAGGGATTTTGTAGTATCCTTCCGCTGCCATGCCCACCAAGACCACACCCACACAACCAGTAGTAAAAATATTTGAATTAATGTAAGAGGCAACTGAGTAAATGTTAGAAAATCCTACTACAACAGCAGAATTTTATATAGGCTTGATCAGAGTTACTTTAATTAATGCCAAGTATGTACTGACTACTATTTATAACAGTTTCAATATCAAAATTCTGAACACAGTTATATCCTTACTTATTAGCGGGTATGCATACTTATGCAACCATATTATTGTACCTTTTAAATTGCTATCTCCCCTTCCCCAAAAGGTTTCACTTTATTTTTCAATTGAATTGTACATGTTATATTAAAGATGAAAAAAATCTGAACTGCTTTAGCTTGGTCTGATTTTTTTTATATTTCAAAAACTTGGCATTTTAACAGGGATATGTAATTTTTTTGGTTCTCCGACAAATGCATGCTCGACAAAAGCGTGGTGACAAAACCGCTGGGAAAAAACCATGAGTTCAAAACTGCACCAACGAATGAGCGCAGAAGCGTGCCGACAACACTGCACCAACAGAAGCGCGCTCTAAACCTAACCCTAAACCTAACCCTAAACCTAACCCTAAACCTAACCCTAAACCTAACCCTAAACCTAACCCTAANCCTAACCCTAAACCTAACCCTAACCCTAACCCTTACCTTAACCGTAATCACACTTCTGTCAGCGGTCTTTTGTCGCCGCGCCTTTGTGGGTGCGCTGTCGACGTCATGGTTTTATCGCTGTAGTTTTGTCAGGCGTGCTGTTGTCGGGCGCACATTTGTCGGGTCACGAAACTTTTTATATCTATGATATACAGGGCTTCCTTATATATTTATCAGATCTATTATGATTGAAATAAACTGAACAGAATAAACTGTTGTTCTTATCATTATATTTGAAAGAATATATCTGATTCAACAGATGAAATCTGAGATTGTCTACACACCAGACCAATGAGATATACATTTAAATGCATCATGGGAAAATATGTGGCAAAAATGTTTTGTTGCTGGAAAGTGCCCTAAGTTTTATTATTCTGCAAAAGCATGTTTATTTAAAATGTATGTTTTTAATATGATTTATTTGAATTATCGCAACCTCACAATTTATCTTATTGTGCAAAAGTAAACACAGTCAATAAGACAATTGCCAAATGTTCAGTGATATTTCCATACTCATGTTAAACAGGACAATCTATGAAAATACTTTTCTAAAAGAGAAGAAGATCAGAAGACATTACAAGCTGTGTGCATCCGGGTTGAGGTAGTAGGTTGTATGGTTTAGAGTTACACCCAGGAGTTAACTGTACAACCTTCTAGCTTTCCTTGGAGCACACTTGAATCTTCAAAGATTTCATCATCTTTTTAACCTATCCAAGCATTGTGTAGTAAATGTAGAAAAAATGCTATAAATAGTCATTGACTTATGACCATAATTGACTGGAACTTCCATTGTTAGATAATGTGGTTGTTAAGTGTGTCATATCTTTATTACTTTTTTGCCATGGTCATTAAGTAAATCAAGTAATGGTTAAATTGATCTGGTTTTCCCATTGACATTGAAAACACCCTAGAAAGGTCACAATTGTGATCACAGCTCTGGGATCATGCAATAAATATGTGCCAGTTGCCAAAACCCAAGATTTGATCATGTTTCCATGCGGCCACTGCATCAATCATAAATGCAAATGGTGGTTTCCACCACTGTCCTAGCTTTGGTCATTAAACAAATAGTCATGTCAAGGACTACATATATAAAGTTTTATTGCTATTCATAATGACTATTTTATTTACAATGTTATGAAAGAAGCTAATGTTCTTGCTCTATTACTACACATCATAGTATTTGAGAAAGAATGATAACTTGTTTTAGTTATATTTGTAATAAAGTTGGAAATGTTTTAGGAACATTATCTGGAATATTTGCATTCACAAACAAAGGAGCATGCTTCTATATATTATAGTTATAACATAATTGTTTTATTCATGTTTTTAAAAAATCAATTATTTTTCCTTATAGTACTTTTTGGTATGTTTTTTAAATCTAAAAGGACATTTTCATAAATCTAGGTGAAGAAATATATCAGAGTTTTTAAGGGGTGTTTTCAGTATACAGCACCCAAACACTTCTGAAATAGTATAAGGCACTTAATAGTTAGGAGAATTTGAGGCTTTTGACATATGAGGGAGCTATTAGCAAAGCAGTGATCGAGTAGAAAGCCAAAAATTAAGTTGCTGGGCATAGTGGGAAAAGTTCAAAAAGAAAGAATGTTTTAAGAAACAGTTAAATTATGATGTGTGCTCTATTTTTCATAAGTATTTTCTGATTGTTAGTTTGGGCTTGTCTGGAATGTTCATGCTTTGCAATTTGGCATTAAACAAAGCTTTGCTTTTATAAATGCTATAAAAACAGGACAATGGCTATCTTTATTGAATCTGCTGATCTCTTATTTTAATGTTTTGGTGAAAGAAAACATTATGGTTTGACCCTACAAATACATTTACTTTTTCTATTTCTGTTTTCTAATCACTCTGTAGATGATCTAATGGCATAGGTTTGTATGTATGGGGTTTGTCCATTGAGGAAAATCTCCACAAAATGTTTGAAACCATTTTCATCAAGACTAAAACATCCATATCTGTACACAGCATATACGTATTGATAAAAATAGGGTTCACGTGGATTGAGATGTCATCTGCTATCTATGCATAAAGAATCACACTACTGATAGGAGGTATTCCAACACAATTGTGTTAGCGAATCCCTTTGCGATCCCTTTTCTAAGAATGTAAAGTGAATTATCAGGCACTTTCTGTTCATTTCTGCTTTACTTGCAGGTAACAATGTAACACAGTGGGTCAGTGGCTAAGACGCTGAGCTTGTCAATCAGAAAGGTTGGCAGTTCGGCGGTTCAAATCCCTAGCACTGCATAACGGAGTGAGCTCCCATTACTTTTTTCAGCTTTTGCCAACCTAGCAGTTCGAAAGCACATAAAAAATGCAAGTAGAAAAATAGGGACCACCTTTGGTGGGAAGGTAACAGTGTTCTGTGTGCCTTTGGCATTGAGTTATACTGGCCACATGACCATGGGATGTCGTCA